TTGTTTTTCTCTTCAATTCTTCTCTCCAGTTGAAGGTCTATGTCGATGTTGTTGGGATTTGTGGCTTTTTAAGTCCGTGAGAGCATGTAATTATAACATACAATAGCGAATTGTCCACTTCAGTGGAAGAGTATATTGGTTGACAAACTTACGATTAAGCAGTCCATGACACGGGTCATACCCTTTCATATGCACTACCATTGAGAGTTTCCTGAAGAGTATCCCTTGTAGAGATAGGAGATCTTCGTGGTCTTTTGTGTGTGGATATAGTCTTGTAAGAGCAAGGGTCAAATCCTCAACAAACGTCTACATGGTATGTACATATAACAGCTACATACAAGAAACAACTCTATAGAGGGATATGTATGCACATGTGCATAGAGAGAGTCCCCTTGCATTACAGTGACATGTGCATTTGACTTGCTCTTAGGGGAAACCTATAATCCACATATTAGGACCGCGGTTCTACTATTTATTAGCCAGCTTCGACAGGCCAATCATGAACCCTTGCACATGACTGTGGGTCATGGGTCGTGTTGGGTTGGTCTAAGAAGATAGTTGTGGATCATAGATCATGGCATGGGTGGAGTGCCCATAGTTAGCAAGTCAGGGAATAATAAAATATCGGTAGACCAAAACATCGATAATAAATCGGTTTTATTTCAAAGAGTCAGAGAAAAAAATCGGGTCAAAAACACGGATTGCTAAAAAATAAGGTAAGTTATAGAATCGTGAATATTTTGGATTTGATTCAAAAAAGAGTAGTCAAAAAATCGGATATGTAAAGATGACAATATAGGACTATGATTTGCAACTATTGTATAGATATATTAAAGCTATTAAACAATAATTTTATAGCCTTACTAGTGTCGTTAGAATAATATTAGACAATTTGTTGTTGAAACTTTTCAATAAATCCAGCAACAATGCTTAGTTTGTTGTCACAGTACAAAACATATCGTAGATTTATTAGGAGCATATAATGAAACAACAACAACAATACTAAACCGAAGAACCAACTAGCAAATAACAAGAACTATGAACCAAGGTATAGGACTATTTTTCAAAGAAACAAAAACAAAAAAAGCCCTCAATATAGGATTGTAGTTAATTAAAAGAAAATGCAAATACCCAAATATGTAGAATAGTGGTCTATCCAAAATGCTATGTTGTGTGCACCAATGAAATAAGAAATAAAAAATAAAATATGAAATTAATCAACTCTCTATGCATAAAAAAAGCAAAAAATGCTTAAGGAAATTTGAATCTTGTACTGAATTCCTAGCTACCTAAATCTTTAGTATCTTTGAATCTCTCGCTTGCTCTTTACAAGAATGCTATGGGTTTTAAAAAAACAAAGGTTTTCCACTAGGTTACTCTTCTTCTATTTCTACTTATTATCTTGAGATACACGATTGTTTTGTTTACTTTTTTGGGGGGAATATATTGCTCGTATTGTTTCGTACACATCTTTTAAGAGAAATCAATGGTGAAATTTTTGATGAAATTTTTTGTTAAATCAACATCCTTAAATTACCTTTTAAAAAAAAAAACAGATTCTTAAATTACTCCCACGGTTAATGTACTTATCTTTAAACTAAAATTCAATAACATTAACCTAATGAAGAAATAAAGTTATATGGAATATCTTTAAACTAAAATTCAATAATATTAACATAATGAAGAAATAAAGTGATATGGAAGAAGTTTTTTGGAAAAGTTTTTTTGAAGAAAGATAAAATACAGATTTATATTGGTTCCATTAAAAAATGGCAATTTTTGGAGATCTTTTGAAAAACTCGGAGTTCTTAACAGATTTCAATCATGTTTTAAACGGAGACTTGCTAACTATGGAAGTGCCCTGACAGTAACTTTTCTTAAACCATTAGTACCGACCCACCGCTAGAGGTTAATTCTAAGAATTTTTTAGAACTTTAAGATTATTTCTTTCAACTCTATTTGTGTTCCTGTGATTTTTGTATAATTTTTATATTTTTATAAATTACTAAAATGGTTTAAAACCCTAAAAGGGCGTTTTACAAAAATTATATAATATGTAAGGGCATAGTGGGATCCACATGGCGCCAAACCTCACACATATGTGACCCATATCGTGTGGGATGTGGGGTCCACATGGGCCACACGCCCCACATATTTTCCAGTATTTTGGAAGATCTTGTGGGGAATCCAGGAGATTTGAAAAGATTTTGTTTGTTACAAGAAATCTTTGAAAAACCTTACGAAAGATTTTGTAAGAATATTTTGTGGATGTTGAGAGTATATAGTGTTTAAAAAATTCTTTCAATATTTGAATTTTGACAAATACTTTTTTGACTTTGAATTTCTACAATCCCTTCGTGAGATAAAAGAAAGTCTAGTCAAAGTAGGATATGAGTTTTGACTAGTCATATCTAGATTGACTAGAAGTGAATATGGGTCAACGATTCCGGAGATAAGGTTCCTAGATTCATTCTTAAATCATGATGGTTGGGATGGCTTTAGTTTTTCTTCTCTCACCTCACAAATTACCAGCAAATCTTTTGATTAAACTGAATCCTAATCTAAGTGGAATAACCTAAGGCCCTAGAGGCCTATATAAGAATGGGACCCCCACCCCTTCAATCTCAGCACTCCTTCCTCAAACCTCTCTCTCTCTCTCC